TCCTTTTGCACTAGGTGTGTTTCTTGTATACAACATATTGTTGGATTTTGCTTCTTAATCCATTCTGCCAATCTGTTTCTCTTGATTGGTGAATTGAGGCCATTAACATTGATGGTTACAACTGATATATTTTGACTTATTCTTGTCATGTTTTTGTCCATTTGTTGACTCTTTTTACTTTTTCTCCCATCTCCTTTTAGTTTCTTGCCTTGCCTATTTGATTTGGTCTGTTGGGCCTCATGTTATTGTGAATTTCGTTGTCCTTTTCTAGGATATTGTTTAGAATTCCTTGCAGTGCTGGTTTGGTGTTCATGAAATTTCTCAGGTGCTCTTTGTCGTGGAAGTATTTTATTTCCCCATCTATTTTGAAAGAGAGTTTTGCAGGATACAAAAGTCTAGGTTGGAGATTCTTTTCTTTTAGGACTTGGAATACCTCACTCCAGGCTCTCCTTGACCTAAGGGTTTGTGTTGAAAAGTCTGCTGTGATTCTAATGGGCTTCCCTTTGCATGTGATTTGTTTCTTTTCTCTTACTGCTTGTAGTATTTTGTTTTTCTGTTGGATTTCTGGAATCTTGATTATTATATGTCTAGGTGTAGATTTTTTTTGATCGTGGCTAGTTGGGGTTCTATATGCCTCACTTATCTGTATGTCTAATTCTTCCCTTCTGTTTGGGAAGTTTTCTGTCATTAATTCTGTGAAGAGCTTTTTTATATCATTTGTGTTTTCTCCTGTTTTTTCATGAATTCCTATCAGTCTTATGTTATTTTTCTTTGTATCGTCTAGGAGTTGTTGGATTGATTTCTCATGATCCCTTACTGTTTTTAATAGACCTCTTTTTTCACGGTCACTGACTGCTATCCTATCTTCTATATCTGAAATTCTATCTTCGCAATCTTTTATTCTGTTTCGTACACTTTCAATAGAGTTTTTAATCTCCTGGATATCTGTTTGAATCTGTTTTATGGATTCCATTTCTTTCCTCTGTTGGGCATTCATTGTTTCCATGTCTTTCTTATGCTGAGTCTTCATGGCTTCTATCACAGTCTTGAGCTCATCTATTTTTTTCTCAGTTTCTGCTCTAGAGTCTCGAATCATGACTTCTATTTTGCTCATCATCTCTCTGGCTAGCTGGGAAATTATTTCTGATTTGAATTTTTCTAGAGCCTGATTGATCAATTTTGTTACCTCCTGTGCTATGGGTCCAGGGAGTCCTGTTGGTTCACTATCAGACTTTTCATCCTCATTTGTCCTACTATTTGCTATTGGTGAACTGGATATTTGTTTTTGTGTCTTGCTTAAGTGTTTTCTCATTTTTATTTTTATTGTTGGGTTGTCCTTCTTTAATTTCTGGGTATTACTTAAATCTTCCTAATATAGTTGCGTTTTAGCTTTTGAGTTTCTAATGACTCATAGACATTCTCGTTTTCATAATATCAGAGAAAACAACTCTTTAAATCAATCACCACTCTTTGTCCCAATTGATACATTCAGCAGCCCAATAGGATCAGGCACAGCTTGCCAACTGACCACTTATGGTAGTCATTAATGTATCACCTTTAACTCATGTGAATTAGATTAATTTCAAGAAGCAGCTCATAGTATGTTTGCAGTGAATATTCTTTTCAATATGGCATCTTTACCATTTAGGATGGGGGGTTCGACTTAGAACAAGAGGATTAGATAAGTGAAAGAATTAGAGCAGGTTTGAAGTGAATCCAGAGGTTGTAGAATTACCTTACTATCTTTACAAAGCTATTAACTTCAGGGGGGATAGAGAGAGTGCAGGAATAAGGACAGGAATATATCCCCTTAACAGTAACAGGCGCTTGCCTTCCCTTGAAGGTACAGAGCCATGAGTGAGGTAAAATGACTGGAGAAAAGAACATAAAGAGAAACCCCTCCTAAAAACAAAAAATAATAAAAGAAGTCTGAGTTATTCAGGAACTGGAATAAAAAGGGAGATGAGGGACACTATGGTGGAGCAAGAGACTGAGTTGGAGAGAGAGGACAGAAAAAAGAAAGAAATTTTAGGGTGGAAAGAGGAAAAAAGAGAAAAGAGAGAGGGAAAGAAAAAGAATTTGAAGGTCCTCTTTCAGGCTATCTCTGATCTCATATTATACCACATGCACAGTCATATGCGGAACCCAATCCCCTGGTCTTAGCTAGCCAATGGCTGTTCCTCACGACTGAGATTGAACACAATCTACAAGGCCTAACTTTAGTTTCCTTACCCTCAGGGTTGAACTCCACTCAGTTCTATTACAGGTTTCCCCTGCCCTTTCTTTAAAGATGTTCAAAGTTGGGAGCTCAGAAAACTACCCTTCATGGGAACCTATGCCTCTGCAGAGTTGGTCTAAGGACTGGCCCGATCAGGAGCTTTGAGAAAGGGGGGGGTGTCGTGTGGGTGTTTCAAGGGCGCCCGCGCAGCTACCTTCCTTCCTGGGTCTGTTGTCATGCAGGCAGGGAGCTCTCGCGCCCATTGCAGGCAGGCAGGCAGCTGAAGACACCCCCTCTGGGGTCTTTGGGGCCTTCCTGGGTCTGTTGTCATGCAGGCCGGGAGCTCGCGCGCAGGCCGGGAGCTCTCGCACCCACTGCCGGGTAATCGCAGGCAGGCAGGCAGCTGAAGACCTGTGGTGTGATTATTAAAGGTCTAAAAGTATAGGGAAAATAGAAGGGGTAGGGGAAAAGAAAGAGGGGAATGAAAAAAATATGAGAAAAAGAAGAAAATGGAAACAAAGTCTTTGTAAATAGGGAGAAGTAGAGCAGTTGAAGGAGGGCAGGGGAATGGGAAAAAATTAGAAACAAGATACGTCATGTAAAGTTACAAATTCCCAATTAGGAATGTAATTGAATTGTGTGACAATGAGCTAAATGGAAAAAAAGAAGATAGCCTCAAGAGATCTGCACCTGCATACATTGTAACAAAATTGTTGAAAAATAAAGCAAAGAAAGAAATCTCGATTGGCTGAAGGAAAAGAGCCACTCATCATTAAGGGAAACTGTAGAAAGATCAAAGTTTGTGTCAGAAACAAGGGAGAACAAAGGCAGTGGGAAGATATACTCAAATTAAACTCAGTTGAAATTAATAATAAATATTAGGCTACCACTGAATGAAAGAAAGGAAAAATAGAGAAAGTCAAAGCAAAGAAGTTGTTTGGGTTTTTTGTAAATCTCAATAAAAGGACTAAACTCTTAGTTATACTGACCAAGTGAAAAAAGTGACATGATCCAGAGCATCAAAATCAGGTTTAAAGAGGAGATGCTACTGAAATTAAAAAGATTGTAGGTAAATTGAAGTAATCAATTAGACAACTTAAATGCAATAAATAAGTTAGTGAAACTGACTCAAGGAGAAGTAGAAAATATGAATAAATTTATAACAACAGAAAACTGCAATATCAAAAAAAAATTGACATAAAGTTGGGTCTCCTTATTTTCAAGCTGGAGAAAATCAGATGATATATTTAGTCTTTAAAAATTGCCTCACATATGAGCTGTGGATTTAGCTCAGTGATTCTGCCACCTGCCTCATAATTGCAAGGATCTGAGTTCAATCTCTGATGCCAAAAACAAAACAAAACAAATAAAAAATTGCCTCACATAGCAAACCTTATACACAAAAAGTTTCATTGGAGAATATTTTTAAATTAATATTTTAAAAATATTTTTAAATTAATTTTATTCGTATATTTAAGGTATGGAATATAATGATACTCATCATTGAAAATTTGCATCATTACATAATCCATCTTGGTTCCTATTTTCTATGAAATATTTAAATAATACCAATATTTCTTGGGGCATAATAGGGCAAGAAGTGAGAATAAGAAGGAACATTTGTTCTATGAAGTCAGTATTATCCTGATCTCCATACTAGACAAAAATTTGTAAAAAAAGAAAACTATGAACTAATACCCCTCTTTAAAGTTTCTCAGTATAATATTGGCAATTCAGCAATACATAAAAATGTATATTGAAAGAAATGTATCTGAAGAATGCAAGTGTTGGTGTAATATATAATGTCCATTTAAAATAATAAGCCACATTAATAAATTAAGAGAGAACCCATATTATCTCAACTCATGCAGAAAAAACTTCCTACAATCCTCAGCACCCATTCATTATAAAAAACTATCAGTGAAACTAGAATTGAAAACAAATTTGTCATCATCATGTAGTGCATCTATAAAAAACAAATACTATGAATAATTGAGAAGTGTTATGTACATGTAACAACTTTCCATAAGGAATATGATCATGTACTGCAAGCATATATTAACAAAAAACAAATACTGAGAAAACCCTAACATTATCATGCATATCTTCAATAACCTAGCTAATGTTATACGTAATGTAAAAAGCACATAAAAGAAGAACAAATTGGTCAACATATGGGTGTGTGTAGAGAGGTTGAAATAATAGCTATGACATATAAATTAGGTTTGATGAGCAGTTAAAATTTGGAAATGGAGCTTGTGGGAACATAATTTTACAATGTCAAGGAAAATCAAAATTATACAAGCACAGGTTACCCAGGAAAACTATCATACAAAACGAAGGAGAATTGCGGGTGAACAACAGAGTTACCTTTTTTCAAAGAACAGTGAAAGAAGAAATCTTCAAAGGAAATTTACAAATATGGATGAATAACGGCCGACCAGCCATATTGTGGCTCATAGAAATGATTGTACCAACTAAAAGTAGCTTTAAATGCATCATATAAAAAGAGAGAGTTACTTTGAAAAAACATAGATAGAGAGTAATTCCTTTCCTTTTCCTTTGGGGTTATGAAATGATTTGAACCAAGTTTAGGAAGGATAAATAAAAGTTTAAGTTCAATGCCAAGAGAATAGACAGATGTAATCAATTCATCTACTATGCTCTTCACATTTTACTATAGGCTCTCCAGTCTAAGAAATGCCCTTCTCAATTCCCTAGTCAGAAGAGACTCCAAGGTCATTATCTCTTTTTCCACCAAAGGTACTGTGTTATTTTCCAGAAACTTGGCAGAAGTCCTCTTAAATACACAGCATTTGCAGTTCTTCAGGGAGTTCCTTAGACATCGGAAAGCTGAAAATCCATTGCTATTCCTGATAGCAGTACAGAAGATCAGTATGGAGACCAATGAAAAAATCTACAAGTCTACCTTGGAAAATATAATCAAGACTTATCTCCATGGCAAACATCCTCCTGGTATACATATTTTCCTCCTGGTCCTGTTTCCTTCTCCCTTTAATGTCTAAAAGCATCTGTGAAGTAGTCTTTCTCAAATGAGCTCCCAGAGGGAGAAGAGAATTGTGGGCACATGGAGAAAGTATTGAGACCAAGAGTAAGAGGGACATTGAAAAGAGAAAATAATAATGAATCCAAAGCCTTGCTACTAAAATAAAAGCAGTGAAATGCAAGGCATTTTCACATATATTCTCTCATTTAATTATGTTTAATCCTAAAATAGAATTTTATTCAATCTCTGTAAGGTAGGGATCACTAGTGAAATACATTGAAGTTAAGTAGCTTTTTCAATTAGTGGAACTTGAATTCAAATTTGAGACATTCCATCGTTAAATCCTAAAGCAGCTAGGGAAATCTGGCCCAATGTACATCTGTCTTAGCCAGAAACAGAGGTTACAAATAAAATATTTACCTGTAATTCAAATTAAGGGTGAGCAGAGCCCCATATTGGATGAATGAAGGTAGATCTTTATTTGTCAGAGTTGAACAGACAGTTTTTGTGCAGGTTTTTCTTGCAGTTGATCAAAATAAGGGCATAAATATTAAACTAAAAAGAAGTAAAATTAGCAAGTCTATTTGTAAGAAAAATTTACTTATTAAGTCTCATGATTTTGAGTTCTCTACATCATTTTGAATGAGCTAGAAGAGAAAGAGAAGTGCCCAGATCTTGTCTTGATGGTGCCCTTAAGGTACCTACTGGTAATCTTGGATTCTCCATCTGCCCCCCAAATTTAACTTTAATCCTTTTACTCTTATGCTTTTTCCTTAAACCAAAAACTTCATAACAGCTGCAGAAATGTCTTTTATAAAATTATTTTCCTTCAGTATTCATCTTCAAAATTCCAAAGGAACTAAAGTAGAACAGTATCTTATCTATAAATGCCCTTATACATAACGTTTCAAATATGCTTTGAAGATTTTCCAACAAAGTATGAAAATCGTAATCAAGACAGATTGAGAATAATAGGGAACCGTGAGACTCCAAGATTTAAAAAAAAAGTAGCAGCTACCTTTGGTACAGGGGAAGGATAGCCCTTTCACACACTCTCTCTCTCTCTCTCTTTTGCATATTTTTAGAAGAAATGCTTCAGTGCAATGCTCCTATTATTAAAAAAGTCCCTCACATGCATCATATTGGTGCAACCACACTGCTGATACTCCAGAGCTATGTCATGAAATCTCTGGAAGAAAAATGGTAAGTATGCCCCATGAAGGCAAGGATTCTTTCTTTCTGGAGCTTCTCATTATCTTTTGAAAGCCATATGAATCAAAGTTCTCAACTAATTCTCACTGCCAGAGACTCCTACAAAGGAAAGATCAAATTTATATTGAATCTTCCTGTCTGCTTCTCTCTCTCTCTCTCTCTCTCTCTCTCTCTCTCTCTCTCTCTCTGTCCTTCTTCTCTCTCTTTCCTTTAAGGCCTTAAGGCATTAACAAAGGATTAAAAGAGTATTTTTAAGTATTTCACCATTCTCCAATTCTTGCTGCAACTTCTTTCAGAAACTTAGCCAGGTTTCCCTGCTGTGTGCCAAGGTTTTGCCTTTTAAAATATAATATTCTTGGTCTCCCTCCTGACAGGTTTAAAGAATATCAAGAACTGTTCCCACTTCCTCCTCTAGAGGTGGAAACTGAAGTGCAGACTTCACAGAGGAAGCCTTCAAAAACAACAGTAAACCTGCAGGAATCCCAGGTCAGTGAGGAAGAAAGTGAAAACAAGATATTCATGACAAGAAAACCATTGCCCAAGCATTGAAACCTATTCAAAAGATTATCTCTGTTACCATAGTAACCAGAATCATTACTCCTTGGAGATGTTGGTGGGTCTTTAAAGCCCTATTTTAATAGGATGAGCTGAAGCTCACAGAAATTGTCATACTGGGAATTTAAACAAATCCTTCTCTTCTCTGCCTCTGATTAGAGTCAAGTGAATAATAGGTACAAGAGTTGAAGCTAATATGTTATATCTACCAATTACTTAATCTGGAGAAGGTTATACAAGCCCTTGACCTGAGTTTCTTGACTTTTAGATTAGAGATAACAATTAATCCTTCATAGAGGTGTTGTGAGGATTAAATGTAATGAATGCCAAGTTACTGGCACATAGTGAACTCTTAGTGAGTAGCAGCTACACTTATAAATATAATTGCACCTCTTTTTGTTTCCTCAGAAAAGAGGTTGGCTGAAAATGGTCAACTTTATCAAGAGCTTTTGTAGCTACCGCAGATTTATATCAAATCCCAGGAAGTGTCAGGAATTTATAGAGTATCTTCATCTTGAAATGCACAACAAAGAGAGTAAGTCATTTCTCCCTATTGATACTTTAGCCACACCTGCATCAGTCCTTTCTGGACTAGATTCTTGAATGAAGGGTTTGCTGGAAGATTAGTAAATTTTATATCTGGATCAGACAAGATTTTAATCCCAACCAAGTTGTACTTGTCAGATCTGGCCTCAAAAAGTTCCCTTCTCAGATATGAATCCCTGTGGATGTATTTCTTCTTCTAGTCAGGACCTTCTAAAATATTTGTTTTATTTTTCTAACATACATTCCAAATCTTTTGGAACTTCTGTGCTTTTCTTTACTTATTTGCATTTTTCACCCATTCTATCATCAATTTTAAAAATAAATTATTTTATGTTTGACTTTCTCTTTATTTTGCCTTTTTAATTTATCCCTAAATTACTTTCTTTTTTTTTCAGCTTTAATTGAGTTTATTGGTACATTTTAGGGATACAGAACAGTTACATTCATTACTGGGATCTTGTACCTCTACATGACAAATCTTGAATAAATTACTTTCTTGATAAACTATTTTGTTTGTTTTGTTTTTCTGTTATTGGGGATTGAAGCCAGACCCCATACATTGAGCTACATCCCAGCATCTCTTCTATTTTGCATTTTAAGATATCTCCATAAATTGGTAAACTGCCCAATAGGCTTTAATTTATGATCCTTCTTCCTCAGCCTATCAGAGCACTGGGATTATAAACCTGTGCCACCATACCCTGCCTTCCCTGATAAATGTGAATGAGCATCATCAGAAGCACTGCCTTAATCTCTTCCCTGTCACTAGGGCAAAATACTTGACTCCAACAACTTAAAGAGAGGTTTATTGTGGCTCACAGTATGCAGAAGTTTCAGTCCATTATCAGATGCCTCCAAGGCAGAGGCATGATAAAAGGCCCAGGACAGAGGAATTCTGCTCACCTGATGGCTTCCAGGAAGAGTCAAAAGAAGAGATAGGAAGGGACACAGACCATTCCAGGCTGTACTGACAGTGACCAACCTCCTTTGAGGAGTCAATGATGATATCAAGCCTCCATGATCCAGTCACCTCCCAAAGATCCACCTATAAAAATATGAGGCTTTAGGGACACACCTAGATATAAACCATAACAACCTCTTTCTTTCTTTCTTTCTTTCTTTCTTTCTTTCTTTCTTTCTTTCTTTCTTTCTTTCTTTCTTTCTTTTTCACATTCTCCATTTAGAAGGTCATATCACTATTTTCAGTTTTCATAGTCTGCAGAAACCTTAGGGCATACCTACTTGTGATTCTGTTTCGATTGGACAAAAACCATGAAAACATCCTTTGGTGCTGGTTACTTTTTGTTGTCGTTATTGTTGTTGTTATGTTTGCTGAGCTGATTCTTTTTTCAGCAATCTGTCAAGTCTAAGTAGGAGGCTGAACCCAGTGGTAGGAAATGACTCAACAGGCTGAAAGAATGGGTGGACAGTCTCCTTTCTTTATCATAGTTTTGCCCAGGTTGAAGTGATGCCTGAGCTTTAAGAGTAATTTCATCAAACCAGATTTTAATTAAATCTTTCTTCTCTAGATTTCTCAACATCACCCACTGTATCAGGGCGTCTAACCCCACTGTCCACAAATGCCCGAAGAACCGAACAGGAGAAGGAAGAAATAAGCCTTGTAAAACGTCGTATATATGGCCAGAGGATCATTGTCATCAACTTTGCAGTTAATGATTTATATTTCCTTTCTGAAATGGAGAAGTAAGTTTCTCATCTTATCTTCTGCTCATGGGTTTCCATCCTTAAGCCCTCCTAGCAAGCAAAGCTTGGCTTAACTTGAAAGAGGTATAGTGATTTCAGTCACAATCTGGCTCACATAAGGCCAAGTGCCTTATCCAGTTACTGCCTCCATCTTCTCCATGCTGATTTTTTGCTTACTGTGTCTTTTTTTTTTTTTTAGGTTTAATGATTTGGTGAGTTCAGCTCAAATGCTGCAGTCCAACAGGGCATACAACGAGAATGATGTGGTCCTAATGCAGTCCAAAATTAACATTATCTTGAGGCTCTTCTTACATGCTGAATTTTCTCCAAAGCTGAGGGTGAGGGGCACTCCTACCTCACTTTTGCCTTCTGCCAAGGAGCATTTTTCCCAATAAGTATCCAGAAAACTAATTGCAAGTTACCTTCTAAGTCCTTGGCCAACTTGTTGTCCTTTCTTAGCAAGTCCACAAAAACTGGTGGCTTCTGGAGAGGAAGTGGGTGGTCTTGAGCACCCTGGGGCCAAGAAAGGTTTTCGGCTTTGCTTGAAGCTCAGCCAATGACCAACTCCCACTCTGTGGATAGGTGAACATCACTGAGTCCCAGAAGGATGCCATCCTTACTTCCATTGCAGAGGGCCACCTAGACCGGAACATGTTTCATGGAGCTATCATGTCTGTCTTCCCCGTCATTATGTACTTCTGGAAAAGGTGACTAGTTTCCTCTTACATGTTGATTTCCTGGTCAAGAAAACAGATCTCTGTCTTCCTCTAGGGCTTGGTTTCATAGTTTCCTGTTTCACTGTAAGTGTGATGGTTGTTCATATCCTACATTTCACACACATTCCACACTCCATCTCTAACATTGCACACTGGTTAAGAGGATGACAGACTAAGAACCAAAATTCTGGGTTCCTAACCTTTCCTCTTCCTATGCTTGCTTGGATCAAGGCTGTAAGGTTTCCTTAGGCCTATGTTTCTCATATTTCCTTGGGGAAAAAGTCTGTCAAGGTCACAAAACTACTTATGTTTAGTAGCCTCATGGAAGGAGTTAGAAGTGTTTTATTTTTATGTCCCAACCCCATAATCACTATGGAGGGCATACAGTTGCTAGATATTCCAAAGAATACAAAATTTTTAGTTCAAGATAAGCAATTAGCCTTTCAAATAACAATTGCTACCTGACACCTAATATTGTCCTAACAAAGACTAAATAGATACTCATCTTGAGACTGTGAGGAATCAGAAGCTTCTAGAAACCATATGCTTCTTCTGGCTTGATTCAGTATCCTGATCCCTCTACGTGTACTATATTTAGAAAGACTACCTGATCTTGGGAGGGAGGTTTTGAATCCCTGATCTTCATGCAGTTGATTCTTTACTTACTTCCCTATATACTTACAGAGAGATTTACACATGTATTATAAAAATTGTGTACACATATATTAACCCAAAGTCTTCAACAACCTTGTGAAGTAGATGGAGAAAAATATTTCTATTTTATGGAAGAGGAATTGAGATTCAGAATAGTTAAGGTATTTGCCTCAGAAAACTTGGTAAATGGTAACTCTAGGATTAGAAATCAGGTCTCTTGGGGTTTTACAACCACAAATAATCTACCAGTCGCATATTGGGAGGTCCATGATGGAGGCATGATTTAGTGAGTGGAATGAGAGAAAGCAGCTGTACTAAAATAATCTACTTTTTGGGGAAGGAGGAGAATGGTGGCAAGCAAGACTGCCAGAGTCAAGGAAGCATGAAGATAGGCCTAGTATTAGCTAGGACTCACCAAGGAGTCCAAACCCTGGGCTGGTTTAAGTGGGGATATCAAGGGACTTGGGGCCAGGGAAGAAGTGTTATGAGGCCTTTAGGGAATAACAATTATCAGGTAACAGTGAGTACATAGGTAGGAGGATCCAGGGCTTATTTCAGGGAAAGGCCACAGAGATAAGGCGAAGGGGTAGCAAGGTTCTTAGAAAGGGACTGATGGAAACCAGACAGACACTTTACCTGTAGCAGGTGAGTTAGAATGAAGATTTTATAGTCTGGTGCTCAGTTAAGCAGTTCAGGCCTGAGCAGAATAGATTCTTCACAGACTCATTCACTGTGTTTCCAGAAGAAAATCCCCCAGCTACAGCTTAGGTCAGTTCCCCCATCCATGAGAAGAGGTCTGGATAAAGAGGAGGCCTCAAAACTTTTTTTGTGGCATTGAGGATTTGTGCTTTCAAGGCAGGATATAGCACCACTGAGCTAAACCCTGGCCCCTCAGAAGGACCTCTGACAGGTGGCCTTTCAAGCCTACAGTGTTTCCTCTGCTGGAGACCAAACACCCTTAGTGAAGAATGGCCCTTGAGGCATCCCCTGTCCTTGTTACAGTCCTCTCTGATGAGAGTTTTCTCGCTGTGACAAGAAACCATTCTTCCTACAGGTTTTGTGCCTGGAAAGCAACCCATAATTATTTACACTATGTAGGGAAGAATTTCAAGGATAGAAAAATTCTTCCTAAACTTACAAACAAAAACCCTCCTGGAAGTTCAGGTAAGCACCACCAGGACCACAGCCCTGTTCTGTAGCAATGCAGACCTGTGAAGAGAAAGTCAAAGCTTGAAGGGCCAAGTGTGAGACTCACAAGTCACGGGGGTATTTATGGGAACAGTAGATAGCTCCTCAACATGACTATCAAAGAAACAGTAGGACTCAGAGGGGAGCAGATATTACCTGGGGATGGCAATGCTTATACGGGAATGCCTCACCATGTACCATTTCCAGCAGTGGAGCTGAGGATGCCTGTGGGCTCACCTGTTACAATCTTCATGGCAGGCACCTGGAGGTGGTGACCTGCTTCACTTCTGTTTAAGAAACTGATTGCTCCAACCAGCTCTTCAACCCTGCCATTTGAAAAGCAATTGTTTTACAGATTAAGTGAAAAAATAAAAACTAGACACATGTTATAGTTTTAATGTGATAGTATCTTCATAGGTATACATAAAATTTTATAAAATCACAAAAATACTTAAAAATAAAGATAAAAGGGTCAATAGGGTTACTTTTGGTTGGTGGGATTATAAGGGATTTATATATTCATTATTAATGAAATGTATAGATCACATAATTAATATATAAATTATTTAATTTGTATATTTTGATACAATGTACACATAATATGAATATATACAATTTTATAAAACATATCAATATGAGGGTTTTCTTGGCACAGAACCATTAGACCCAGTCTTTTTCCTAATACTGAGATAAGGGTGGGGATTTGGCTTAGTGGATTTGCCACCTGCCTCACAAGTGCAAGGGCCCTAGTACTACCCCTGGTGCAAAAAAATATAAAAAAATAAAAAAACCAATACTGAGATAAAACTGAGATTACTACTTGGGCAAAGGGAATTTTAAAGAAAGGAAGCATGGTGGAGCAGGCAGTGTCTGATGAGGGCAATAGTGGGTCTCTGTGGAAGTTTTGCAAATCAAAAAGAACAGGTCTGTGAATCTGGGGACAAGACTGTCATCAGAACAAAACACAGAAGTAGGACAGAAATCTTAATGAAAGGAACTAACTTCCCCATGCATGATGGAGCTGAACATTTTCTTGTTTCAGATCAATCTGCTCTGTTCTTATATCCACCTTCCCAGATGTCTGCCCCTGTTCCCCAGCCAGTTTTCACATATGTGCACTCCAGCCTATTATGTAGAAACAAGAGTCCTTGAGACCTCAACCCATTGGAACATCTGCAGAAGCACCTCTAGATGGCTATAAAACTTTACTCCTGCCCCTCCTTACTCAGCTTCTGGTTGAAGCAGATGACCTGTGAACATTTTTTCATTTTTCTTGTGCTTGCTTTTTGTAAAATGTTGCATCAGCAGCCAGAAATTAGCAATTTTTTTTAGTACTTACAGAAAGATGTTCCTATGGGTGAGAGCACTTATTTAGAATTGGGGCAGGGATGGAGGTTGAAGAAGAGAACAGCAAGAAAACAATGAGAGAAGCAGGTAGGCAGGGGAAGTACACACCACTCTCATACAGGAGGGAGACTCTGCCCCTTAGTGGGAGCTGAAGAGCTCCCTGAATTTTGTTTATTTTTTGTAGCTGTGCCTCAGAAAAGTAGGCTTCAATATGTCACGTGGTGTCAAAAGGATGGAAAGAGTAGCTCTGAATTAAGTGGAAAGAGGGTAGTGGGATACACTAAATTAAGGGGACAGAGTCCTAGGCCTGGAATGTCTCATGAATTGAGGAGGTCTTGAACTATGCTCTCCACTCTCACCCCTCATCTCAGACACAAAAGAATTGGATTTAGATAATGCTCTATCTTTAATGCCCTGTAAGCTGGGAATTGTTAAACTGGAGCTTTCTTGCTTACTTAGGAAGATTTCTTTTATTGGGTGCTGTCATACAAGCTTTTAATAGGTTCCCTTCTTTTATTTCTAGGTGACCACAATATCTTAAGGTGTACATTGCTCAGAGGTATTGAATGGTTGCGACCTCAACAGTGGGATTTACCAACAAGTCCACTTCCAAACTGTGAGTTGGAAACTCACTGTTTGTAAAACTTTACTACTACAGTAAACAATGATCTTAGGCCAACTTAGGAAATTTCTTTATTAACTATGAGATCCCAAAACAAAAAGTGACTTGGTGAAACACACATAGCTTTTGAATGGCAGAGATGTAGTACAAAGTGGTTCTGCTGGCCTCCTTCCAGAGCACTGTGCACAGCTCTCATCTGCATAACTGTGTCTTCTTAATTCTTTTATAGTACCTCAAAGGAAGGTACCTTAAAATTTTTCTGCATATCTGCTGACTCTTCTGCCCATTTTAGGCATAATGTGTGATCTTTACTGAGAGACCACCTTAGCATTCTAATAGTCACTTTCCCTCCCACTGAGAATGCATGCCAGCCTGAACAATGCCTCCATTCCATACCTTCTGCTTCCTAGGTGCCCCTGCAGCTGAATTCTCATTTCTATAACAAACCATGGTCATCGCCTCCCATATTGAGGACATGATATATTTTTTTCCTTCTCTATCTTCAGCTACAGTCAACCCCACTCCAACGCACTAAACTCGTCCACATAGCCTCTTCCAATAAACTTTGACTTTCTATTCAAATTATTATATTTTATTTGGAGAAGAGCTTGAAGACAAGGCTCTTCTGCTTCTTAGGGCACAAACTGCCGGTTTGAAGGATCTGCATATTTGTATCTTTTCCTCATACTGAGTTGGGGAGGCCACCATGGAACATTGCCTATGATTCATGGGGGTCATGATTCATGCGGGTCCAAGCAGCCCTGGTCAAATCTCTATTTTATTTCCCTGAGTTCATGTGTTTGGCATCATAGCCTTTATATCCATGAGAAATGTCTCCTGTGACAAAAAGTTATTACAGCATGCAAATACAACTCAGTCTCAGAAGTATCTTTGGAGCATCATGGCTTTCACCTTCCCAACACCTTCCCAGGAGGGGTTCCATGGAATCTCTCCTACATGGCCCTTTGCTGTCTGCTGGTCCTCCAGTGATGGTGTCAGTGTCATGAGTTCTGACTACATTTTCTTTTTGTTTGCCTCTAGCTTCATCTAGCAATCTCACCCAATCAAGACTTGTGTTGTCTGCCATGCAACTGTATCCTGCCCGGGGGTAGGCATGAGCCAACAGTCCTCTTCTTCAGTTCAAAGTGACTGTGTCCAAGCATACAGTGGTAGAAGGGATAGCTCCACATTCTGACATCCCTCTGCATGTAGAACCAAGTTGAGCTTGCTGCTTATGGAGGGGCCTGGAGTCAAAAACAGGGAATGATTTCTCTTTGGGAATTTTTGCTCACTTCTGACTAGGACAGGCACTTTTAGGAAGTTGGAGTCCCTGCTGCATCTTCCAAGAACACTATAGCCAAAGTAAAGGTGTTCTAGATTATCTTTTTGTGACAACTTCCCACATACTCCAGCTCTTTAGGGTAAGATGAATAACATGGGAAAGTAAACAGAGACATTCTGATTAGCAAGATATTGGCAGTAAATGCAGGAAGAATTTGAGCTGGCAAAAATCCAGTTCAGCATAATTCATTTCTATATAGGCATCAAAGTGAAACTGATGTTGATTAGGGATTAGAGAGGTTATAGACATCGGGGATCATGGAAACTACAACTGAAGAGTACCAACAAATTACTTGAAGATAAAAGTTATATATAGGAGCCTCTGGCAAGCCTGGTTTCCTTCCTCTGGCCTGGTTCCAGGCTTGTTCTTCCAGCAAGGACTTCAAGCTGCCCAGGTGTACTTTGTCAGAGATGATGCTTGGGGAAACAAAGCAGGTGACTTTGGAGCTCTCCACACAGGAAAGGCAGTATGTGGCCTCAGAGATCACAAACTATTGACAAAGAAGGTGAGAATGAGAGTGAAAGAAGCCCTATAATGAAGGCAAAAGGATTCAATTCTGGACATTGCCATTTCTAAAGACAGCAAACCAGCAGAAAATGTAACACCAGGAACCTCATTGCTATTGTAATAACTGACTGTTCTTTTCTCTTCTTTTAGACAAAAATTACCCCACACCAAAAAGGAGAAGAAATAATCAAGTCAGCCCCCTATAAAAGGCAAGTTATCTCTCAGAGCCCTCCAGTAACAATAGCAGAACCTTTTCTGGTCAGAAATGGAATGCTCTCATACCATCTGACCCTGGGGAGATCAAGAAGGAGGATGACCACTCCATATGGCTGGACTAAACTGCAGTGTGTAAGATGTGAGGAGACAGCATCAAAGTACAATGGAGATAGTCTTTTCACAATGATTGGGTCAACACACTGGGGTTCTGAGTCTTACTCTGCACCTGCCTGGCCTGTTCAAATTAAAAGTATTTCATGATGAATAGATGGGTTTTTATTGGACACTATAGGTAGCAAGCTACTCTTATTAATCAACAGTAACAGAAGAGGCCTCTTAATGGTAGGATCTCCTATTTGTACAATGCTCAGTGTCCATTGACTCACTAAAAAGTTTTTTTGAGTAATCATGTCAGAAATCATTTATTTTTAAATAGATGAAGAAACTGATGCATGAGAAGGTAAGTGACTGTGCCAAGATTACTAGGTGATAAATGTTACAATCAGGACCAAAACATTCCAGTTATTCTTTGTCCTGTTTTCATTCTATATTACCACTTGCACAACTTATCATGTCCAAAAGGAACAGCTCTTCCTTATAGTTCTATTCACTTGCCAACGAACAGAGATTTTTGTAAAACTTTTGGCCTAAAATAGTATCTTATTTTTTTAGTAACTGGCTCATTTTCTGTCCTTTGAAAAATGTCAGCTGGAGATAAGTGAGTAGAGTTTGGTTCAAAATCTCTGTGGGCTATTGAACAGAGGAAGACTAGAGATTTTACCTGATCATTTTTTTTTTCAAATTTCTGGTCATGGAATCCTGCTATGCAGATGGCCTTTCCTTACTAAACTTTTCCAATGGATGAAAAATGTTGTAATGTCAGAATGAGGCTCTTAAATCCCAGGACAGATCATCAGGTGGCTTTGTGATTGCAGGAGTTCCAGAAAGTCTGTAGGTAGACTTGACTACATTGGAGATTTGGGTAGGCAAGGTGCCTGGGTAGGCAATATCCCAAGAGAAGGATCAGCTGGGTAATGCCCAGAAAAATGGGATGCAGAAGAGGACTTCAATTAATAGAAACTGAATCTCAGTTTCTAAAATTTAGGGAAAAACTAAGGCAAGATCCCAGGAATGGAGAAAAACTCAGTTGCTGAAATGAAGATACCAGGAAAGAGCTTGATCAGAAGGCCAGCAACAAGGTGATTGATGATGCACTAGTAAAATACTCTGAGTTACAAGTGTAAATACCCTCAGGTATTGGACTGGGACATAGCTGACACTACATGTTGACAGTAGGGGTTTAGTTTAAGGGAAGGAAAATTTTAGCTGACTCATTTGAAAGTGAGATCTTTCCCTTGGCTTTCCATTTCCTAACTTCCTTCTCTACCTTCACCCACACTCGTGCAGGTATTCAAACACTCATAAGCATATCATTTAAAAGGTCTGATGACAGTTACTAGAACCATAGTGAATAGAAAAATAATCTGCTCATTCCTCAAGTCTTATCGATCACTTCCTTGGGTTACTTTTGCTCTTCTTCTAGAGCTCCCAGTTCCAACATGTTCCAATCCAGCTTCAAGCTGGTGTCACAATGGCAGTCAACTGGAGAATAGAGTCAGGTAACATACATGAGTAAAGTAACATATGAGAGATAATTAGAAGTTGTACAAACTGTGATAAATTTCAGAACATGTCTCTAAAAGAAGCAACAGCCATTTGCAACCAGCCAACCAAGTATTTTTAAAATTTCTACTTAGGGCTCCGGTGGGTCAAGGCAGGCCGGCCGGCTGGTGGGGAGGTGCTCAGCTGTCTGCGGTGACAGTGGTGGCACCTCTCCTCTGCACGGTCCTCCACACGTACCAGCGACTCTTGCTCCCAGCTGCAGTTGCTCCTGGCTCTGGCGCGCAGCGCCCCAGCAGCTCTGAGGGAGGGCAGGAGCCGCCGCTATCTGAGGTGACAACAGGATTTATATAAGTGAAGATTTTTTTTTAAAGACCAACAAACAGACAAAGAAAATGCTGAATCCAATCAGTGTAAGGGTAACCACAAGGGATGCTGAGTTGGAATTTGCCATTCAGCCCAATACAACAGGGAAACAACTTTTTGACAAGGTGGTAAAAACAGTTGGTTTGCGTGAGGTCTGGGTTTTTGGGCTGCAGTATGTTGATAGCAAAGGTTATTCTACATAGCTTAAACTAAATAAAAAGGTGACACAGCAAGATGTTAAAAAAGAAAATCCCTTACAGTTCAAATTTAAAGCTAAATTATTTCCTGAAGACATTTCTGAAGAATTAATTCAAGAAATAACCCAAAGACTTTTCTTCTTGTAAGTTAAAGAAGCCATCCTAAATGATGAGATATATTGCCCACCAGAAACTGCAGTTCTTTTGACTTCCTATGCTGTCCAAGCCAAATATGGAGATTATAATAAAGAAATTCATAAACCAGGCTATCTGGCTAATGATAGACTACTACCCCAGTGTGTTTTCGAACAACACAAACTGACAAAAGAACAGTGGAAGAAAGAATACAAAACTGGCATGAAGAACATAGAGGAATGCTAAGGGAAGATTTGGTGATGGAATACTTGAAGATTGCACAAGATCTAGAAATGTATGGTTTCAATTATTTTGAAATAAAAAATAAATAGGGTACTGAATTGTGGCTGTGTTGATGCTTTGGGTCTGAATATTTATGAGCATGATGACAAGTTAACACCTAAAATTGGCTTTCCCTAGAGTGAAATCAGAAATATTTCATTTAATAAAAAAAAAAATTTGTTATAAAGTCAATAGACAAAAAGGCACCTGATTTTGCTTTTTATGCACCTCGTTTTAGAATCAATAAGTGCATTTTGGTCTTATGTATGGGAAACCATGAACTATACATGTGAAGGAGGAAGCCTGATACTATTGAAGTGCAACAGATGAAGGCTCAGGCTGGGGAGGAGAAACACCAGAAGCATTTGGAAAGGGCAGAATTAGAGAATGAAAAGAAGAAAAGAGAAACAGCAGAAAATGAAAAGGAAAGAATAGAAAGTGAAAAGGAAGAGCTAATGGAATGTCTAAGGCAAATTAAAGAACACACAATGAAAGCCCAAAAAGAACTAGAACTGACTTGAGAAGCTGTAGAATTGGATCCAGAATGAAAATGAGCAAAAGAAGAAGCAGAACAGCTAGAAAAGGAGTGTCGAGCTGCTGAGAAGGACAAGTCTGCTATAGCAACACAAGCTGCTGACGAGCTGAAGAATCAGGAACAGCTGGCAGAGCAGAACTTGCTGAATTTACTGCCAAGGTTACACTTCTAGAAGAAGCCAAGAAGAAAAAGGAAGAGGAAGCCACTGAGTGGCAACACAAAGCTTTTGCAGCCCAGTAAGACTTGAAAAAGAGCAAAGAAGAGTTAAAAACTGTAATGTCTGCCCCACCTCCACCTCCACCACCACCCATCATTCTTCTAACAGAAAATGAACATGATGAACATGATGAAAATAATGCTGAGGCTAGTGCTGAATTATCAAACTAAGGAGTTATGAACCATAGAAGTGATGAGGACCATGTAATAGAAACACAGAAAAATGAGCGTGTGAAGAAGAAACTTCAGGCATTAAATTCAGAGTTAGCCCAAGCCAGAGATGAAACTAAGAAAAAACAAAGTGATGTTTTTCATGCTGATAATGTCAAAGCAGGCCATGATAAGTACAAGACTCTTCGACAGATTCAACAAGGCAATACAAAACAGCGTATTGATGAGTCTGAAGCAATGTGAAAGCTATTATTTTGCATACATGTTCTTCATAAGCTGAACCAACAGAGAAAAGCAGTCCTTTGCAAATTTGATGGAATGCATCCTACCTTGCCAAAGCACTTATACCAGTTTGACTGTGGTGACTAAGAGAGATTTAAGGAGAGCTCTTCAACATTAAGGCAGTGTGATATCATGTTTTTCTTTTGGGCCAGGAAATTGAGAAAAGTGTTCCATTATCTCCATTTGAATTTCCATTTTTTAAAAATTTTAATTTTTTGTTAAAGAATAACACTATCATATCTGATAATTGTGTATGTGTGGTTTGAGCATTTTGTGCATTTTAAAGGTTAATGGTGAATATTTCAATTTTAGATCAGTTTTCCCTTGCCTTTTCCATTTTTTACCTGCATAGATTTCCACATTCTCTCATATTTTCTCACCCTTCTATTGTACCATGCCTATAAACCTGCTGTCATACAGATCATTGGCAATATTGAAAATGATTGTAGGTGGCTGGGTGGACACAAATTTTTGATTATTGTGTAACAGACCACTTTGAATCATGGAAAAGATTAGAGTACCTAACAGAATAAATTGTTCTTGGTGGTTACTTTTTAAATCCCAATATAATTATATTATTGGATATTTGTTATTTGCTGTTATCTTTGACAGCTAAATTGATCAGGGTTTCATGGTTTTGTTTTGTGTGTGTGTGTGTGTGTGTGTGTGTGTGTGTGTGTGGTTTTATTTGCCTGCCACTTCATAGTGGTTGTAGACAGCAGGTAGTAGTTCCTAGGAGAATTTCTTGATGAAACTGCAAATAAGTTATCTTTAAAGGATCCAAAATGTTTAGAAAAACAGATGTCTAATAAAAATATACATTTACTTGTAATTGATTCTAAACACACACAAAAATAATTCCTGGATCTCTCTGGGAGGGCAGCTTATGAAAACAGAGCCCCAAGAAGGGGACAGTAATACTACCTCACTACTATACCTGGAGTGGCTAGTTGTTCAAACATGATAGAATGTGTAAACTACATGTTTTGTTATACAGAGACAGTCTCAATCACAAAGGAATACTTTTGAGATTTTATTTTCCTTCAGAATATCATACTGCTAATTTTTTAAATTGCTTTTTTGTTGAGCTGAATGGTAGGGCTCTGATTTGTATTATTGAAATTATAAACTCACACTGGTATATTATTTTACTGGAGGGGTGTCATA